AAGTAATCATCAAAGCACACAATCCATCTTCCAACCTTATACCAAGTTCCAACCTTTACTCCTCTCCATCCTTATATCAGTTCCAACCTGTACCTCCAGGCCACCCTTATATCGCCTCCTTTATTCCTCCGGAGCACGCATACCCCACACTGAAACCACCAACAATTCCACTAACATGGTAGCATAGAAGTGCCATTCGCATGATTCGTGCCTATAGCACTATAATCAAGGGGTCAGCACATATAACTCTGACATGGCACCACGGCGCTTATACCCTGACCCAAGCCTTTAGCCAGCAAGTCTAAGGAGTGGTTCATGCCTTTAGCACGATAATCGAGCACTCGTTGTGCTATCCGCCAACAATTCATTTCCACCAATCACAATCTCATTATCATCGATCTCAACCATCATTGCACAATGATCACAATACCCATCATCATTCAATGGTATAATCAACAATAACAATCAAGGTACAATAACAAACGACACATGCTACATACAAATTCCTAGAACGGTACTCAAAACATCGTACGAGACTCATAAACATCAAACGGGGTACAACGGGACACGGGGAAACGACAAACGGGAAAAAACAGCTCACTGCACCACCACATTCTAGCGGGTGGAGGACCACCCGTCGGTGGGCAGCCAAGTTTCCAACGGGTGCCCGGCGGGCAGTCGACTGCCCACCGGCTGCCCGCTAGAATCGGGCAGTCAGGGCCGCGGGTATGTGGCGGGGGTTCGCTCCCCCCACCTACCCCCCACTGGTACGAAGGTAAATATTCGGTTCGGTGTTCATTCGTGGAACCCAAAACCATGTCCAAACACATTCCAACACGTATCAATAACAACACGGATTCGATTAACAAAGATTGAACCAAGAATCATTCCAATTACATTCTAACACGATTCCTAAACATGTCAAGACTCGACATCAATCACATAACGGTTCAGGAGCATCCGAAACCCCAAGAACATCAAGAAATCTATATGCAAAGCCCTAAAGACAAGTCCTAGACTAGAATCAACACCCGAGCATGCATAAACCCACCCAGGAATACCAAGAACATCACAACACGAGATTCATGATATAAACCCTAGGGACGAGCTCTAGACATAATTAAATACAAGATCAAACCAATAACCACATAGGGCCATCAAGAATAGCAATAATTCACCATATAAACCTAGAGACAAGGTCTAACAAGATATACATACAAAATCACACATTCAATCAACCAACGGAGCCAATCAATAAAAAATAGCAAGGAAAATAGGTTTTCTAAGACATGGATTACCTCTTAGCCCTTAATCAAATTCCCTTGGCTACTAAGGTTCTTCTCTAAGATCTCCTCCCAATTGATTCTTCCTAGGCTCGGTAGGGGAAATTCCTTTGCTAGATTACCTAAGGGAATATTTTGGGTGGCAGAGCTATTCGTGGTAGGGTTTCTAAATGCTTTCTAATCCCCTATATATAGATTCAGGAATCCTAACTAGAATCGGAATAGTAAGGCCCACTTTCCCTATTTCCGACGGGATTGAAGTTGTGCTAGGGATAAGGGTCCATGGTCTATTGTGAACCATATCAATTAATTAAAGGAATTCTAGTCTAATTAAATCCTTTTTAATTATATATTAACGGAATTAATTCCATAATTAATCCGGATTTGGAGGCCGTAACACGGGGTGTTACAGTTTTGACAACTTAGGTTTGCACCACTGATCCAACTTGTTACACACATGCTGTCAAACACTAGAATGGTGCCAGGCCATGGATGAGGAATTTAATGCTTTATTGCAGAATCAGACATGGTGTCTAGTTCTGTCTAAACCTGATCAAAATGTGATTGGATGTAAATGGGTTTTTCGAACCAAGAGAAAAGCGGATGGTTCAATTGAGAGATATAAAGCCAAGTTGGTAGCAAATGGATTTAATAAGGTTCCTGGTCAAGACTTTTTTGACACGTTCAGTCCAGTTGTAAAACCAACCACAATCAGGTTACTTCTTTCTTTAGCTATATCTTCTGGTTGGACTGTGAGACAACTAGATGTTCGTAATGATTTTCTTAATGGTAATTTGACTGAAACTGTTTACATGCGGCAACCACCTGTATATATTGATGTTCAATTTCCTAATCATGTCTGCTTGTTGAAGAGATCATTGTATGGGTTGAAACAGACCCCAAGAGCTTGGTTTAACCGTCTTCACGCATTTTTATTATCTGTTGGATTTGAGGCATCGAAAACAGATGTGTCACTATTTTATTACTCCCAGAATTCTACTTATGTTTATCTTCTTGTCTATGTTGATGACATTCTGGTGATGGGCAGTGATCCGAATCTTGTGAGTTATTTATTGTCAAAATTATCTACTACTTTCAAGATTAGGGATCTTGGTGAACCAGGTTTCTTTCTTGGCAATGAAACCATTAAATGTAGTGATGTAATTCTTTTATCTCAACAACGGTATATGCTGGATATTTTGAAACGTGCTAGTATGACTAATTGCAAACCTCTATCCACTCTAATACCTGTTTCGAAATCTCTTGCTAACTCTACAGATTTATATGATGATCCTACGCAATATCGAAGTCTGACTGGAGCTCTTCAGTATCTTACTATCACTAGACCAGATTTATCCTTTGCAGTCAATCAACTTTGTCAACACATGCATGCTCTTACGGTCACTCATTGGGAACAAGCCAAGTGTGTATTGAGGTATGTCAAAGGGACTCTATCTTATGGTTTACGTATCCGAAAATCTGAATCCATAGAATTGCATGCCTTCTCTGACTCAGACTTGGCTGGCTGCCCTGAGGATCGTAAGTCAACCAGTGGTTATGCTATTTTTCTTGGGTCAAATCTTATGCCTTGGGTATGCAAGAAGCAAAGAACTGTTGCAAGATCCTCTACGAAGGACGGAGGCTGAATACAAGGGGTTAGCTAATGTTTGTGCTGAAGTGATCTAGGTTCTCTCCCTCTTACGTGAGATTGGCATCACTCAGATTTCAGTTCCAAAGCTGTGGTGTGATAATCTTGGTGCTACATATCTGTGTGTTAATGCTATTTTTCATGCTCGCACTAAACATGTTGAAATTGACTATCATTTTATGAGAGATAAAGTTGCCAAGGAGAGATTGAAGTCAACTTTATCTCTACCAAAGAGACATATTTACACAGTTTTAGCATGTCCTAGGTTTTCTTTTCTTGAGACAAGCTACAAGTCACATTTGTACAGGTCCTAGGTTTTCTTTTCTTGAGACAAGCTACAGGTCACATTTGTACATAGGTCTTAGGTTTTCTTTTCTTGAGTCAAGCTACAGGTCACATTTGTACATAGGTCTTGTATATATACCTAGGTCTTTGTACTCTTGGTTCACTCTGTTAATACAATTCAAAAATGAAATAAACTATTATTAGAATATCAAATATTTTATTTGTGAAATCAAGTATGTTTGGTTATTAATAATAATAATAATAATAATAATAATAATAATATTAACATTTTTTGAAAGAGTCATGTTTCACCAACCCTTTCAAAAAGTGTTGTTGTACTATTTTAATTCAATGAGGATTAAATTCGTTTACTTATTAAATTTTATTTACTTATTTCCTCATTACCAATTTGTGTTACTTGTCAATATTAAAAATATTTGTCTTTGATCATTTAGTTGATGTGCATGGAACATATATTATGTGTTTTAATATTCATATATTATCATTATATTACTTCAAAATTTGCTGTAATTAAGAAAGAGAGTGAATGGGGGGATTTCATTGCATTTTGTAAGATCCATGATCAACAATATTAATACATTTTATAGTGAAAATAAAATCAAACCAGTGTTAGATAAATAATATTTTGATCTTTTATAATATTTTACTTTTCTTATTGTAAAATTAATTGAATGATATCTTCACTTATGTTTTTATTAGTTTAGATTTCATTGAAGTTTTTAAACATACTTTTTAAATTATTAGCAAGGTTGCAAAAATCGCATCTAGGCACCGATTATTTCGGTGCCTAGGCGCTAGGCCGCCGCGAAGGCCAAAATCGGCCTCCGCAACCGGCCAACTAAGCGGTCTAGGCGACAGTTTTTTTTTTTTTTTTTTTTTTTTTTTTTTTGCGTTTTAATTGCGAAAAGTTCGAGAAGACATAACTTTTGACTCGGTTGTTCGTTTTGGACAAATTTTTTCGAGATATATCCACCGCATGCCGAAGACGGTTTGGTCCACTAATTTCTCAAAAAAATGCTTCTTTAACTCTTAATTTTAGTTTTTTATGTATTTAAATAGTTTAAATAGTTTCTGAGAAATAACTATGGAAATCTTATGTTTTATTACTAAATTTTAAAAAATTTTAATTTTTAATTTTATTTTTAATTAAAAAAATTAAAAATAAAATAAAATTAAAAAATCAGACGCCAAGGCGCCCCCTAGGGAGCGCCTAATGTTTTTTGCAACATTGATTATTAGTGCTATACAAAAATGATAAAATTTTGATTATATATTCAATAAGAATACGTGAAGCATGAGCTTTATTTTCAACTATAAAGAAATGACATATAGTCTTTACATGATATGATATAGGGGTGACAAGAAAAATTGACACTATCTTAAAATATGATCTTGACTTCAAATATAGAAATCCTATGATGTTTCACCTTAAATATTAATAGATTGCTTTATTATTCTTCTAGGTTTTTACCCCGTCCTTAAGAGCCTTGTCCTCATCCTCAAGAGCCTTGCCTTCATCTTTAAGAGCTTTGCCCTCGTCTTTAAGAGCTTTTCCCTCGTCTTTAAGAGCCTTGCCCCCGTCCTTACCCTCTTCCTTAAGAGCCGAGCTCTCAGCCTTAAGAGCCAAGCCCTCATCCTTACCAGCCAAACCCTCTTCCTTAAGAGCCGAGCCCTCGTCCTTACCCTCGGCCTTAAGAGCCGAGCTGCCCTCGTCCTTATTCTCGTCCTTAAGAACCTTATCCTTGTCCTTCGTCCTTAAGAACCTTATCCTTGTCCTTAAGAAGCTTATCCTCATCATTAAGAATCTTGTCCTCGTCCTTAAATGACTTGTCCTCGCTCTTAAGTGTCTCCTTGTCCCTTGCCGCGACAGCGAGGACAAATATGCACACCAGAAACACTGCAACAAACTTCTGGGCAGCCGCCATTATTGTTTATTGTTTATCTTTATCGTTTATCGTTTATTGTTTGGTGTGTTTATTGTGTGTATATATGGGCAATGGTATTTATAGTTAAAGCTAAGGGTTAGTTGTGGTGTTGCGTTGTTTTAGGCCGGATAGGATAGGATGCTTTAATTTAATTTAATTTAATTTGCGTATAGTACTTTTCATCGGATTTATCACAAATTAAATCAATAATTAAATGTGGATCTGGCCTGGTCTTCCTTAAATTAATTCATTGGTCTTCGTTAATTCATTGCTTTACTGCTTCTTCCTCTTCCACTCAATTCAATAATCTCTCCCTCATCAGATCACCTTAGCTTCCTCTCCACCGCAGCTCCACAGCTTCCTCAGTTCAATATATATTTATTTATTTATTTATATTTTACTAAGTTTTATTATATTTGAATTTAAATAATTATAATTAATTAAATTAAATTCAAATATAATATTGAATCTTCAAAGTGGATACAATGTTCATTTTGGATAAACTCTTACTATTCATCCTCAATAATTATTTATTTATTGAATATAATAAATATTAATGGAGTTTGTTGTAGGGTGGAAGTTACATTTTCTCGATTATAAATAGATCTCTCATTTTCAGGGACAGATCCTAAAATCTTAGGCGGTGGGGGCGAAATATTAAAAACTAATGAAATATTTTGAAAAGTACTACTTAGAGGTCGAGTAATAAATATTGTTAATTAGGATGAAAATTAAAATATATCAAAATAAAATTTAAAAAAATATGTATATATAATTAATTAGGTAAAATAATTTGAATAGAAAGATATTATAAAACACTCATATCACTATTAATATTAAAAAATACTTGGAATTGATCTCGAGCCAACTGGATTGGTCTTTGGTTGGTTTTTTTTATCGCTGGGGCTGAAGTAATGGCTCTAGCTGGGTATTTTTTCCTCCTCTGACTTAGTGGTATTTGGTGGTAAATTATGAAATTTTATGAAGTTATAACTTGTGATTATTTTGTGGTGGAATGTTATACCTATTATATATTATAAAATCTATTTTGGCGTGAGTAAAACATATTTATGTATGAGAAATATATTTATATGGTTATAGCAATTGATATAGGATTTATATGCAAGTAAAAATGGCTATTGGTGAAAAATGTGTTTCGTACTAATAGTTGTTTCATACGTGTTATATGTTGATAGCAGAGTAATAAAAAATACAATGTTACAAATAAAAATTCTACAAAATATTAAATATAATTAATTAGATAAAATAGTTCGAATAGAAAACATATTATATATCACTAATATCACTATTAATATTAAATATATATATATATAATTATAAGTTCCACTATATAATATCATTTGCAGAATAATAAATTTAGATATGCAGTTGATGAACGTCATGTCCGGATAATTTAGACGCTAATGTTTATTTTGAAAAATACCTGATGGGTTTATAATTCTCAGAATGAGAAAAGAAATGAAAATTGCAACATGTATTTTTTTGAATTACAAAGGCTTATATGACTTGAAGGAGTAAGCAATTGACTGAGTTATTTCCTCCTGAAGTATGAGTATATGAATATGAAAAAATGCCATTATGTGTTCATTAAAGAATTGCTAATGGAGTTATCTATTTATTATCTCAATCGACGTTGATGGTTTAAACGATATTGAAATACATAAAGAGCTTAAAGATATTAGTTCATGCCTAAAGACGGAGACATTCAAGTTAATTTTATCTCCACAAAAGATCAACTTGCGGACATATTTAATTACTAAAATTTTATCTAGTCTTAGATTTTCGACATATTTACTAGAGTTTTACCTATTCTTAGATTTTCTTTTCTACAAGCTACAGGTTGCTAGTATACCATGTGTTTGAGGGATGAGTATTAGGACTCTTTTGTATTTGAATTACATTAATTACTGTTCATCTAATATAGTTTATACATTTCTCATCGTTGTACTACTTTAATTTAACAAGGATTACATTTCGTTTACTTATTTTCTCATTAGCGATCTCATGTTATCTGTCATTATTAAAAATATGTTTGCCTTTGATCATTTAGTTGAGGTGCTGGAACATATGTCTTTTAATTATTAATATATTATCATTATAGTACTTCAAAATTTGCAGAAGTTTATAATTAATTAATTAATTTAAACATATGATGATATTATAATTAAATAAATAATATTTTGATTTTTTAAACATGTATAATATTTTCATCATTTTCTTATTGTAAAATTAATTGAAAGATATCTTCAATTATGTTTTTATTAGTTTAGATTTCATTGAAGATTTTAAAATTACTTTTTAAATTATTAATGCTCCACAAAAATGATAAAACATTATTTTTTTATATGAGAAAAAATCAAATAATTATTCACTACTTCAATAAGAATACTTTTTAAATTTTAATTATATATTCAATAAGAACGTGAAATATGTGCTTTACTTTTAACTATTAAAAAATGACATATAGTCTTTAACCCTTTACATGATAGGGGTAACAGAAAAATCGCCATTATCTCAAAATATGATCTTGACTTCAAATACAGAAATTCTATGATGTTTCACATTAAATATAATAGATTGCTTTATTATTCTTCTAGATTTTTACCCTGTCCTTATTGCTTTATTATTTTTTTAGATTTTTAGCCCGTCCTTAAGTTGCTTGTCCTCGTCCTTACAAAGCTTGTGCTCGTCCTTATAGAGCTTGTCATTGAAGTCCTTAAATTGCTTGTCTTGAAGTCCTTAAATTGCTTGTCCTCGTCCTTAAATTGATTATCCTCGTCCCTTTGACTTCGAAGCTGCATAAAGTACGAACTTTCTGCAACTACAAAATAACCTCAAAATTATTAAAGAAAAAAAAAACTAATTTAACATATAAATGAGAACACATCATAAATTATGTTTTTTTTTTGGCATGTGTTGGTCCCAAAAGAGGTAAGGTGAAAGTCTAGAGGGGGGGGGGGGGGGGTGAATAGACTTTCAAACTTTTTCGCACAGCACAACAATTGCTAAGCCAGAGATAAACCAAAACTCTTAACTAGATTGTTAGAGTATGTTGCACAGCAGAATTAAATAAAGATAAAGTGTGTGTGAGATTGTGTGAGCAGTATATCTCGTGTAGAGCAATTAAGTAAAAAGCAGTAAGTAAAGAAAGCAGTAAAGAACACAAGACAATTATAGTGGTTCGCGAGGTGGTGTAATCCTCCTACTCCACTTGCTCTTCTCTCCAAGAGCAATTCACTATATCTACCACTTCTTGGTTCCAAGATACAATGAATTCCCGTGATCTAGTGCTTTGATCACAAAGCCCACACTAATCACGCTCAGTGACACCACACTGCTGCTTCGGGTTTCACGTCTCCGCGCTACTATCCCAGGATTTCACGACTCCGCGTTACTTTCCCCCCGTCTTCCACACTCTGGTAGAAACGTATCCCGTGATCTAGTGCTTTGATCACAAAGCCCGCACTAATCACGCCCAGTGCCTCCGACACTGCTGCTTCGGATCTCACAGCTCCGTGTGAAAATCCAAGATTTCGCAGCTCCGTGCTACTTTCCTCCCTTCTCTTGTTTTGCTCCAAAACAAGTGTTGTCTTGCTTCCAACTTCTGAGACTCTGTAGTTGATCTTCAATGATGCGCAGGTCTCTTTGATGAAGATGTAACACTCTTTGAAAGATTTCTCTTGAATGCTCTGAGTGTTTTCTCTCTTTGAATATATCAAGTAAAGCACTTGATTTTTATGCTCTGTTTAGCTCTGTTTAAGAACTCTCATAATATTTTTCTTTTGAAGCTCTCTGAGTTCTTTTTCTTTTCTCACTTCTCACTTGAAGATTTTTGGTATGCTCTGTACCAAATGAGATTTTTGCTCAATTGCCCTATTCGTTCCCCTTGCTCTTACATCTTCAAGTCTTCATATCTTCATCATTTTATAGCTGGTAATGAGAATCTGCCCGTTGGAAAGAGACGATCTCATTTTTGAATTCTTGTATCTTTTTGTCAAAGATCTTATCTTATCTTCTGCAAAGTGTCAGAAGAGATAAGATAGCCGTTGTTAGAGCTTCATCTCCATGTAAATGAGTACCCAAACTTCATCTGATATTCCTCTGGTTTTACGTTGGGTGGGAACATATGGGTCTCTGTTTTGGTGTAGAATGGCTTCTCTGATCAGCTCTGAAGTGGTCCTTGTATATTTGGGATTTAAAAATATTCTTCAATTTAATCCCATATTAGTTAGACTAGTATTTTTTTCTTGTGAGAAATTCTTCACTGTAAGTTTTTCTTCATCTTCTTCATTCTCACGTCTGGGTGTTATGATCTCACGTCTGGGTGTTCTGATGTTTCAAACTAGCTTTGAACTTCCTCCCAATTTGAATTTCTCCTTTGTAATTGACACCCAATTTCAATTGACTTGTAATTGGCACCCAATTTGAGATCTCACGTCTGGGTGTTCTGATGTTTCAAACTGGCTTTGAACTTCCTCCCAATTTGAATTTCTCCTTTGTAATTGACACCCAATTTCAATTGACTTGTAATTGGCACCCAATTTGAATTTCTCCATTGTAATTGGCTCCCAAGATTTTGACTTGCAATTGGCTCCCAAACTTCTCCTGGTGCTTCAATTACTTCCAATGAATTATGTCCAATTTTGAATTATGTTGACCTTGACTTCGAAATTGACTCCCAAACTCTGCTTCAATTACTTCCAATTTTGAATTATGTTGACCTTGACTTCGAAATTGGCTCCCAAACTTCTCCTGGTATTGAATTTTAATTTTATCTCAATTCATTTCAATTGTTCCTCAATGTCTTCTTTTAATTGGTCCCCATTTTGAAATTGCATTACATGCTCCTCAATGTCTTCTTTTGCATCCCATACTACAATCTCGGCTCCCAATTGGGGTGTCTTCTTTTAATTGGTCCCCATTTTGAAATTGCATCACATGCTCCTCAATATCCGCCAATTGGTCCCCATTTTGAAATTGCATCCCATACTACAATCTCAATTGGGAGTCCCAATT